ATAATATATTTCCAAATTATTTTCAATAGACAGAGTGTCGTTAAAAGGATGGAGTTTAAGTTTTACCACGAAGCAGACAACTTCTACAAGTGTTTCCTCCCTCTTTTCAATTTGAATAGCATTAATTGTCTTCAAGTCATCTCACGGTGCTTTGCGTCTTAGGCATGCAAACACCCTAAGGTTGGCAGTTCAAACCCACTCGGTGACTAAATGGGAGAAAGACCTGGTGGACTGTGTCCGAAAAAGGTTCTATAGCCAAACAACAGCATCTTCCTGCCTCATCCTTCCCCCACCCCCGACACACACACACACACACACAGAGTAACTGCTGAGGCTGCTTGTGTAAAATGCAATGCCTCGTGGGCTCGGGTTCCTGGGCTTGGAGGTTCAGGATCCTCGTTTCATGGACAGACGTCTGAGGGAAAAGGAGGGTCTGGATGGTTGCACAGCGTAGAAACGGTGGGTGTTTTGCTGCGTGTCTTCCAAGAGAGCCAACACGATTCCTTTCTTTTTCAGCTTTAAAGAAGCCGTGTTTACTATGTTACACTTCTGTAGGTTGGAAGCGTGACATGGGTGTCAGTGGACGAAGTCAGGGTGTGGACAGGACTGCATTTCTTTCTGGAAGCCTAAGAAAGAATCTGTTTTCTTGATTTTCCTGATTTTTTTTTTGTCTTAGAAAGAAAGAAACCCAGCAATTAAAGTGTATCATATTGACTGGGGTGATGATTGCACAACTTTTCTTAATATGATCGAATGGTTAAATCATACGCTATGTGAAGAACCTGCCAATAAAACTTTATTTTATTATTAAATGTGTATCATAAAAGGTGGTAATAGCCTTGGTGGTATGATGGCTGCTTTGGGGGAGAAAGGCCAGGCTTTCTAGTCCCTTAAACTTGCAGTCTTGGAAACGCACAGTTCTACTGCGTCCTAGAGGGTCACTGTGCGTCACATCATCTAGATGCCGGTGAGATCCTGAAAGGTAGAGACCTCCCTAGCACAGCCTGGGGCACCAGGCAATCTGTCAATGACACTTTAATTTTACCTACAGGCAGCCACTCAGCAAGGCCCAGAGGGAACAAAGATAAGTAAGTGACTACTTGTCCTCACGCTGCCTGAGGTTAAGTTCCTAATCTTACCTGCCCTAGGAAATAGGCAGTAAGCAAAAGAACTGATCGCAATAATCAACACATAGACACATAACCATACTCCCCTCTCCAGGGGGAAGAACAACAGAAAACATGGGGGATGGGAGATGGTGGTCAATGTGAGATATGAAAATAATAATAATTGCCAATCTATCAAGGGGCCATGAGTGGGGGATAAAAAGAGAAGCTCATA